TGCAGAGCATAGAGAAACTCAATGTAGTTGAGCACCTCTATTGACTGTCTGAGTGACTGTCACTAGGAAGCAATGTAAACACACTGTCTTCTCTGAAAAGTCAGTGTTTACATTGAAAAGCCTGCAAGGACAGGCTATAGACGCCAGAACCACTACATTAAGCTGTAGTGGTCCTGGTGACTCATGTTCCTTTACGAATTGTATTTTAAAATCTGGCTCCTAACTTTTTTAACTGGCTCCTAGACTAATGTCGCATTGACAAAATGAAATTTGATGTGACAAAGGCCTGGCCATGAGCTATATGAGCTTGTTTGTGTGTTTAACGTACCGCCTACACTCATGCTTATCTGGTTTGCTGCCCTTCAGTCTATTAAAGATCCTGCTGCATGAATCCCCTTCTCACTGATCGTTTTCTGCCTTTACTATATGATATGGTTTCTTTGCTTTCTGTGCTGCTTCACCCACAACATAATTCCATCTCTTAAATCATTTTAATTGACCTGCCACTGGTAATTGTGTGTTAAACATTTTGCTGCTGAGCCATTTTCTTCCCTGTGTGAAATTTGTTTATTCAGTTTTTACTTGTTCTATTTAAATATTTATTACAGTGAGTTTCTGTGAGTCAGCCGTGATGTATGCAATTTGCACTTAAAAAAATAAAAATAAAGTATAACACAAAACTTTAATATAAATCTCTCCTGTCAGTGTGAGATATAAGCCGTACATTCTGGTCCCTGTGCAATGTATTTGTTTTTAAAACCCTATACTTGCTTGTGCCAGTAATGGGATGATGTCCCCCTTGACTTGAATGCGTTGTGGAGGTTGAGTGTGTTTTGCGCTTGCCTCTGCTTCCCTTTACTCTGGCGAGAACTTTCAGATACTTCCGTTAGTCTTGAAGTAGAACTGTGATATTGAATGGGAGACTACTTGCACTGGTCAGACCTTCCACATAAATCTGCAGTCAGTTATTGATGGTCGATTTATTGATTCTGTGTCACTAGAGAGATTGAGTCTAAGTGCATCCATTGTAAGCCCCTGCTGTTGTATAATTTGATATACAGTACTAAACAATACAACACCTGTAACAAGCAAACAAGACTACTAGGAATTGTACGACGTAGATAGAAATGCTGATGGCACAGACTAGAGGATATTTAAACATTAAATTTTATTTATTTTTTTTTGATCAGGTTATTTTTGCTTATATTTAGAATCCAGTCCTGTATAGTAGGACCAAACTCTTATCACCCCACCCTTTGAGAAGTGTTACGGATCATAATTTAGAGCACATTCACTTTCCAAAGAATTACAGTATTAAAATGACTCTCTAGACATTTGCTACACAAGTGGCCTGAGGGCATTTCCACTGGCGGTTTTAGTCCTGCACTTTAAAGTATTGCCTGACAGCCCCTAGAGGGAGCTTCCGTGCTAGAACAGTCAGTCTGTTCTTAATGCTCCTCATACAGGCTATTTAATTAGAGGAGCACAGCATGTGCTTCTTGTTTACAGAGCTTCATTATGACAAGCATTGGATTAGATGAGGAAGAGGAATCACCATGATGTTGGAGAGGCCGATTGCATTGCGTCAACCTAGTTCAGTCCTGGCACCAGCAGGGCATACATTACAAATGAGGAAGAGGAGCAGAAACCTTGTTTCATTTCCCACTTCTCTGTATGCTTTCCATATGCAAGGTGTGAAGGACAAAGCTTATAACTATGGAAGAAAAGAAATGTCCAGGCGCACCTGAGGTTTCTTTTAAAAGGCAGTCTCTCTATTTGAAACGAGGAAGTGGAGACAAGGTTTCGGCTCTTCTCTGAGCCTTTATCAAGCCAGGCTTGAGGAGCCGAAACCTTGTCTCTACTTCCTTGTTTCAAATAGAGAGACTGTGTCTTTTTTAAAAGAAACCTCAGGTGCGGCTGGATATTTTTCTTCCATTTGAGGTCTTCAGGGATTGGCCCTCCATCTCTGGAGTATCCTGCAGGAAGTATTCCCCCTTTTTTAGTGTGTGCATTACATTCTTTTTTGTTTTTGCAAAAAAAAGCTTATAACTTTGACAGCAACCAAGAAAGAGGTGCCCAGTCATAGGATAAAAGGGTGTGATATTGCGCTTTGTGTTTTTTTGTATTTTGTCCCCACAGTGATCTGACACTCCTTTGCTTGGATTCAGTGTTTCCCTGTGCATTCAGTAGCATCTTGCTGTGTGATGATTCCTTATGTGACCTATGAAAATCAGAGGATCTGAAGGTGGAATCACCCCGAAAAGCAAAAGATATATGTTTTCAGCCAAATGTAAACATTGCTCTCGCTCTCAAAAAGATTAAAGGACCACTATAGGCACCCAGACCACTTCAGCTTAATGAAGTGGTCTGTGTGCCAGGTCCATCTAAGATTAACCCTTTTTTTCTATAAACATAGCAGTTTCAGAGAAACTGCAATGTTTGTAATAGGGTTAATCTAGTGGCTCTCTCATTGACAGCCGCTAGAGGGCTTCCGTGCTTCTCTCTGTGATTTTTCACAGTGAGAAGATGCCACCGTCCATAGGAAAGCATTGTGAATGCTTTCCTATGGACTGGCTGAATGCGTGTGCGGCTTCTGCCGCGCATGCGCATTCAGCAGAGGAGGAGGAGAGTCCTCCGCCCGGCGCTGGAGAAAGAGGTAAGTTTAACCCCTTCGACCCCCTAGAGCCCGGTGGGAGGAGGGCCCTGAGGGTGGGGGCACCCTCAGGGCACTATTGTGCCAGGAAAACGAGTGTTTTCCTGGCACTATAGTGGTCCTTTAATGTATTATATAATCTCATAAAAGTAACCGCATCTATGTACTAAAATCACTACATTTAGATGTAGTGGCTTTGGCACTTGTTCATTTAATTATATTATAGAGGCCTCACATGTCATTTGTTAAATATAGGGGAAAACTTAACATAATATAAAAAAATTGTTATATATTTTTTTTCAAATTTAAAATGTGAGCTTGAACCTTTTAAACACTTTGGAATGCCAGATTTGCTGTAATGTATTCCCATTACAATGGGAGTATGGTACTTAGAAATAAAATGATATTAAACAAAACAAAACACAATTTGACATCTATCTAGCTTAAATATTTTGTATCTGTGGAGGGGGGGTGGGAGGGGGGGGGGGGCAGCTAGAGGGATATAGCCTCCATAAATTCCAGGATTGTCACCTATCTCTTAATGGTTTTTACTGACATGAGATCCATCATTGGTAAGTGGTGCCTTATTAATTTCTTTATTAAAAAAAAAAAAGAATTCCTTTAATGTTAAACATTGGGTATTCATATATAATTTTTTTTTTTTTTTAAATTTTATATATTTATATACTCTGTTCCACATTTTTAAATATACTCTGGTGTCTTTGGACTCCAATCTCAGTCCCTTGGCAAAGGTTGGAATTGCAGTTGGTCCTCCCTTAATGTTGTGAAGTTTCATATCACTGTGTATATACTATGAATACTGCAACATCTTCAATGTTTGTCACACCACAGGAGACCAGAAACAACTCTCCTTTTTCCATAAAGAGGACCTATAATTTATCTCCCTTAATAGACTGAGATCTATGCTCTGAATTCCCAAATGCATATAATAGTCATCTAGAGATGTCACACGACCCCTGCTTTGTGGTCATTACACTGTTAATATACAGCCCCAAATGGTAAAAGAAGAATACTTCTTATTGGGTAAATATTGTATTCATTATATAAAGTGTTATATACTGGTTGTTTGTGCTCTGTTGTAGAGCTTTGAGGTTCCTGCGTCTTACTGACAGGATGGAGAAGCAGTGTCAGGCCATGCAAGGACAACCTGTCACTCCGTTCCAGCCACAGGTAAGTTGGGGAAGGGAGGCTATACAGTGTATGTACATTTATGTCCATATATAAAAAAGGCTAAGTGAGGGTTTGGTGTGTTTTTTTTTTTTTTTTTCCTTTTCTTTTCCCCCCTCCGTTTTTCTTGGAAGTCTTTCTGCTTGTTTAATCATATGTGGACTTGCCCACCTTGGAGTTCTATTTTCATTGCATGATTGACATAATGTCTTACTCAACCCTTGTATTCATTGCTCTAGGGCTGTAAAAAAATAAAAATGCAAATAAACAGTTTGGAGACAGCTCTCCCTAAAGAAGGTTTATTTAGTCTTTTGAAAGGATACCAAAGTATGCAGTGAAACTAGACAGATTGCCAATAAAATGTGATATTTATTGGCAACATCCAAAAAAATAAATCCAATAACATTAACTTATATTGTTCAATAATTGAGCTAGTGAGTAAAAAGATAAACTCAAATAATGGGGAAAAATCCTTGCAGGTAACAAATAATTAAATAAATCTTTATAAAATCTAAAATTCTACAGAAAAAGAATGTTTAATATTAATTGAAATGTTAAAATGCAGAGTACGGCAATGTTTACATTACAGCTCTAAGTCTGCCCTCTGTGGTTGTCTACCAGACAGTGACTAGAGGGTTTCCGGAATCCAAACAGACTTTTTGTTCGTTATCTGAAGATGGACGTCCTAACGCTCTGCATGAGGACCTCCTTCATCAGATTTTCCCCATTGGAAAGCATTGAATAATGCTTCCCTATGGGGAGGTCTAATGCGCGTGCTTGGCCATTGCCGTGCATGTGCATTAGGTCTCCCCTCCAACGACTGACGTCGGTGGGGGAGGAGCGTGGTGCTGTCATGTCAAGGGTGCATAATTCATTGTTGCACTATAGAATATTGCCATTTAATGTAATTTATGTAGTGCATATATGAATTGGCCACTTGGCAGAGGTCAGATGACAGAAGGGGTAATGTAAATTGCATAGGAATGTGAAATGGGTTAGATGGTTTAACATATGGATTAATCCATTGATTAATCAAAGGCTCTGCAAGGTGTGCGAAGTCACACATAAGTGGCCTGGAAGTCTGGTTTAACTATAAACTAACTCTGTAATTTGCAATATGTCTAGATTCCCTCTTAGGGGGTCCTTTGATATGTTAATGACCATTGGCCTTTTGTTCCAGTATCATATCCAAATTTTTATTATATTTAGAATGGGACAAGCACAATCTTCTAATCAAGCCCAAACATGATTTGCGTAAGTTAACCATAGGGGAAGGGGTTGTGATGTCCGCTATATTGGGTCACAAGTAAGGAGTGTGACATCTCTATGGAATGAAAAACAAATTCATAGATGCAAGTACATAAGAGGAGATAGAACCAAATGTTTCCATTTGGATTGATGTTGGTGTGGAACACAAGGGGGTGTTTACTTATAGTTACTATAGGTATGCCTTTTATCCACCTTTGGGCGAGGCTTGATAATCCACAGGGTATATATCTAATGATACTGAAGTGTGTATTGTATTTGCTTGGGGGCTAGAATCTAATTCTCAGTGAGTCACCATCTACCTTGCCAGAGACACCCTGGGCAGAAGTTTTACTTTGAAAACCTAAGGAGTAAAAGATTAGGACTTTTGTTATTTTATCCCTTTTGTTTTTATCTGTTGTTGGTGTAGCTAATTTGATTCTCATCTATATTTGTGTATACACTCTGACAATTTTTTGCTCAGAATATTCTTTTATAAAGTTCTACCTTTGTCTATTACTAGACCTTTGTCTAGTAAAGAATCACGTTACCTGAAGAGACTAATTAGTGTTTTTCAATAACCTACATATTGTGCAAAGTTGTATTTGGTGGGTTTTTATTATTAAGTTACCTGGGGGAACAAGGCACCCCATTTATAAATTGTCTTGGTTGTGGCAGCGTTAAAATAGTAATATTTATATTATTATGGTTGTGTGGGTGGTGTTAAGGTTTTTTTTTATTATTTCCGGTCTAGTGCAGACAAATAGTGAACTTTAACCCTTTCACCACCACAACTACATCAAACTACATCAAACACACTCAGGCCCGAAGGACATCGGCGCTGGATTCAGGTAAGTGGCTGAATGGGGTTTTAACCCCTTCAGTCACGAGGGAGGGGGGACCTATTAACCTTATAGTGCCAGAAAAGTATAGGATCCCTTTAACTTGTTGGGAGCTGACTTTGATTTGAATATGTTTGTTGAAAGACCATTCTGTACAGTGCGTAAAGAACATGTTCTCAGTTTCATGAATTAAACTTTACTAATTTATTCTTTGCAAAGGTGGTCTGAGCATTTGAGTTGTAATGCACACGGCTTTTAGTAACTGACAAAAAAAGCTTGCTTCCAATCCCTTTTTTTAATATTTCAGAATAGAAGTGCAAAGAATGTATAACTGGTACATTAAAGACGTCTCATTATAAAAGTCATAACATATGGTTATAGGCCAACAACTTCTAGAACTGCAATCAGAAATGTATCCCACAATAATATAGAGCAAAGACAAACTGCTGTATTTGTACTGAGTGTTGCGTCTCGTGAGACAGAGCGGCCCCCGAGACATGAAACACAGGAGCATCTCTACCATCCGTGGTTCTCCGTGTCGCCACTATTATATGCTAGAGAATGAAAATGCTCTAAATATTTTGCTTATATCCGCATGGTGGTCTAGATATGCATAATTCAGATGACTGAAGGATGGCCTAATTGGGCTATCAGATCTCTCCTATTCAACAGGTTGTAGGTACATGAATCCCCATGCTCATGTTTCATAGAAGCCCCAGGATAGGACCCGGCCGTCTCTAACCCCAGTGTCTATTTAACTTCCATCTTATCGACTGGACGACCTGTTCCATAATGTCTAGATGCCATGTGTTGTTGGCATTTTTCTACAATAATGTCAATAATGTTCCCGTTTTACCAGATCAAGCCTTTTTCTACCACCATATAATGCTGACCCAGGGGAAATGAGACGTCTGTTTCTCAGCTTATTTCCAACTTGGTT